CTGTAATAAAACTTGACCAGAGTCAGGGTGAGACCACAAGGAAAATTCAAAAGGGATACCTAAGACAGGAGTTGCACAGAACAGCCTACCAACCAGTAGTTTACATCTGGCCCACTGCAGAGGTTACAGTATCTAGTCCCACTGTTTAATAGAGGAGTCATAATTGAGCTCTTCTCCCCCTTCTTTCTTCTCCCCCCACTTGAAGATGCAGACGTTCTGTTTCCAGTTTTGAGGAGGGTGCGGTGGAGTTAAAGCCCATGTGCTTTACTTTGGACATGTAACACCAGTGACCGATGAAATCCTGGTGCCCTTCTAAACCAAGAAGGTCTCTTCATCTGACAAGGATGACTACTCCTCACAAAGACTAAATCCATGAAAACCAGGAATTCAGGGCAATGATGACGATGATGACACAGCCTCCTCACCCACAGTCTGGGGGAGCTTTGCTTCCCTTCATACCAGCAGCAAAAACTAATGCAGATGAGAGGTTCCCTCTGACTCAGCCAAAGCTGATGGTGTTGAACAAGCTCCATGTGCAGCAATGAAGCAGTTGGCCACCACAAGGCTGCAGCTAGACACTCATTCCAGTAACACACCTCCCAACCCTTTTCTCCAGCTAATTCCTGAGAATTATGGTCATTTGCACACAATGTAACTGGAACACAGCTCAATAAAACCTGTTGTTTCATAAGCTGTGTGGATCCATTTGATTTTGCTTCCCTGTTTTTCGTAAGGAAGATGAAAAGCTGGCAGAGATTCAACAGAGTGGGAAAATCTTCCTGGTTGGGGATCAAAGACATCAACTGATGCCAGACAAGAAAGTCACAACACATGTTTATACATAAGGCAAGAAAACATTCATACTAAGACTGTGTACCCTGAGTGGCTATTAACCCCTAAGAGACTTTAGCCCAGCAAAACCACACCATGTTTTAAAAAAACCAACAAACTACTTAAGGATAGATCTTCTGAACAAGTATATTGGCAATTCCTCCAATTAATAATTGGTGTAAACTGGCAATAAACTCACTTCTTGCCTCGGATCTTCTGCAAATCTCTGAATCACATATTTCAGCTCCCTGATTAAAAGAAAAATTAACAGGGCAAGAGTTAGTAAGTTGCTCATTGCACTTTTCACACAAGTGTCACATTTCTCTTGGATTACACTTTAAATTATATACAAATGCACCTTAAAGAGAAACAAGTTAAACTGCTTCCACAGGGAGGAAGTATGAGGTTTAAAAGTGATTACCAAGGACAGTGTCTATACAAAATAATCTAGAAAAGGTTTCAGAGGTGGGCAGTGACAAACTGGTTTGTAAATTCTATCAGCATCCAGTGTCTTTAGTCCTTGGGCTCCTGCTGTCACAGTAAATTACAAATAAAACTACATATTTTTATTGCTAACAGAACACGTTCACAGCTCCTCACAGATTAAAAGAAAACATTAGAGGCACAATATTGAATAATGCATCATTGCTATTACTGACTAGTACAACTATTTTAACTGATTATCCCCCCTTAGTAAAACAAAGAAGCCCCACAAACTTACTTTGTGAATTTCTCATGTGCAAGAGCCCTGAAATTTAAAACAGAAAACAGAAAAATATGAGGAAGAAGGGAAGTAGGGAGGAAAAAATACACCCAAAACCAAACAACCACTTTTCAGTTCTTTCCAGATAATAAGAGGATTTGCTAAGCAACTGCAGCACACACAACAAAAAGAATTATCCTTCCAAAAGACATCAGGTAAAGTCTCCTCTATTAAGCTGGGGGGAAATAAAATTCAGGAGACAAAGAAGAAAAATCACTTGGACCAAATCTTGTAGCTGTTCCTGAGTCCTGTTTTAGACAAGGCTCTGACTAAGTGGGAGCTCTGGGTCAGAAGTAAGCAAGGAAAAGACTGAAAATGCAGCTGTAGAATTAAAAAAGGAATTTTTGGCTACCTCCAAGAGCCAAGTGAATCCTATAATTGCAATGTAATTCAGGTACAGTCCCAACTAATTGTACATCTGCAAAGCAATTAATGGTCACCCTGTGGAGGGCCTTGCATCATGATATGGTTTACACCTCCCCCAGGGCTCATATTTGACTTAGGTAAATGGTGTCTCTGTTGCCTATCTCCAAGCCCTCACTGTAGCCCAGGTAACCTGGCAGAGAGGATTAGACCTCTCTGATTCAAGACATCGGGTCATTAGAGGTTGTGATAAGCTAGCAAATTGTACAATTACAGGTTGTAATGTTTGTCCATGGAGGTCTGCATTTGATAAACACTACTGTTCATTAATAGGTTTCTGAGGGAGCTTGGCTGATCTGTAGGGTAGCTTCTTCATTTAATGCTAAATACAAATGATTCGAGGCTCTGCAATGCCAGGAAAGCATCCTGACCTACTACATCTCTTACTTTACTCTCCTCCCCACCAGCTTTCCTCCCTTTCTTGTCTGCCTGTCTGTAGTTAACCATTCTTCTCTTCAGAATCATCTTGGAGAAATGGGGATGGAAGATGGGAAAGTCTTTGCATCCCTCTATATCAGCCAAAATCAACTATAGATTCTAAAACAATACTAGAGGCACAAAGCTCCTATTACCATCAGTTTTTAGCTGTCATTATATTTCACCATAACACAACAGTAACAAGAATAACTCAGTAAATACTAAATGCAAACTTACTCCTTGGGGAATGGGATAGGTTGAAGCAAGCTGGCCAGGGCTGGTCTCCAGTCATCATAGTCTGACCTGGAAGATGAACATTTTATTAACAGGTTACCAAGTATCAAATATGGTCTGTCAACAGTTAGTTCAAGGAGTCAGAAGTTTTGTTCTGCAGGCATCAACAACCCTTCTGTCTTACTGAGACACTGTAAATATCTATGGTGACATTTCCCTTCCCATTTTCTGCACATTCTCCACTGAGGCACAATAAATCTGGTATTTACAATGACCTCCAGAGAGGCCTTCCTCTTGACAACTTTAAGACATTTGCTGTGTATGAAACCTGTTGACATTTAATCACTAAGTCATACTTTCATCTAAGTTGGCAGAGTAATTACCAGCCCACTGCCATTTACAGCTCTGCCTTGAAGAGGGTTTTAAAAAAAAAAAAAAAAAATGTGGGGGGGTTTTGGCTATGGTACATGAGCCCATTTGTAAAAACAAAGACACCTCCCTACTCAACCATTGACCTTGGCACAAAGAAACGGCTCAATTTAACCAGTACAAAGTCTTTAGCTTAAGAGGTGAGAGACTAGAGAAGGAAGCACTGTCAAAATCACTAGGAGAGAGAGAACACAAACGAGGACCACAGCAGGGAGCTCAGGCCAGTGGTCCCTGAGTGTCTCCTCTGTTGTGTTAGCACCACAGCCCCCAGCTCATGCATTTGGTTTTCACCTCTGCTGTCAATATTCAGAACTGCCCTCCTACAAGGAGCCATCCATAAGGACTAGGATAAAGAGAACTAGTTGCTTTCCAGCACGTGTTGCTCAGTGCAAACCAATCCAGCAGCAAAACACCAGGGGTTTGAAGGCACATGGAGAAGCAGGTAGGGCTTCTCATGGAGCAATGGCACCTTGTGCACCCCTCACCCTCAAGTGATCTCAAACATTTAGTAATTAGTTAGCACTAATTAACAACCATAACAAAGCACTGCAAAAAGAGTACAATCATTTCAAGATGGAAGCCAATTCACTCTAATTAATACCAATGAGTACACACAGAAGTAAATGTAGTAAACCTCACACAGGGTGAAACACCTTGGGATGTCTGCAGAAGAGAGTGCAAAAGAGCCTACAAGCTGTTGATACCCTTTGGATTTCAGTTTTAAAAGACTATTGGCTGCAGCTTACTGCAAACTTGACACCAAAGTATGGTGTTTCTTTAGGAGGAACAAAGTGTAATGTTCCCAAATAGACAGTACCTACTGAAAAGATGAGAAACAGACAACATACGAACAGAAAGTGTTCCAAAATAATGCAATTTTTTCAAAGAGAAGGTTCTAAACCAGAGCAATTGAAGATGGGTGCACTTTCAAAAGTGTCATCCATTTTTTGAACCACATAAGCAAGAGATTTTCATAATTTAATTATCCAAATGACAGTTCACAAAGGCATATTTATGGACCCAAATAAAACCTAGGTGCATGAGCAGGGTATTCTTAAAAACTACATGCAGAGAATATTCACAATATAACATTCAGTTATCTCTTGCCCAAGTGTAGAATGAGTTCAGGTTACAAACATGCATAATATCTCACATCCCTCTACCAAAAGGCCAAGAACCACAACATGGTGTTGTGTCCAGGGAGACATCTCCTCCCCCACCTGCAGTTGTTAAACAACCATAAAAACACTTAGGTGCTAGTTAAGCAACTGAGGTGGTACTGGCCAGCCAGAAACCTCAGTGCTGGTTCTCCTCAAAACACCAAACAATTAACATTTGAGTTATGTTCCCTAATAAAAACAACTTGTCTATTTTCCTCTTGTTATCTTTAGCACTGGAGGCACAAAGAATAGTGCACATGAAGCTACAGTATTCCAATGAAGATACCTCATGCCCATGCCAGTTATGCTAGAAGCTATTGAGTCTCATTTTCTTCTCCATCAGGTCTCTGTCTATCTTCTCCATCTGTTCTCTGGTCTATATTTGGAGCAACTCTGAGTTAAGGGGTGTTACACTAACCTAAAGCAGACCTGAGTCCATAGCAGATAGAGCTCTTTGTGATCACCCATTCACAGAGCCAAAAGCTCCTTACCTCCTTAGACACTAATCAAATATGGAAGATCACAAACTTTGTTCAGTGCCTCAGAACAGTAAGACATGAAGCAGGACTTCATTGCAAGAGGTTGATTTTCCACTTCGTCTGTGTAAAGTGAGTATCATGAAACACCTGATGGGGCTTCTCATAGAAAATGAAATAAGTCAAAGAAACCTCTGACGTAGCACCTCTAAGATGAGCTCTCTGGGTGCTTTTAACAAAGCTTTGATTAATTAAGGCTCTCCACAAGACTATTTGTTGTTTCTGACCTACAGGCAAATTGAATGGATCAGTGACACAGAACTCTGACCTGTGCTCAGATTCATCTGAAAGGCTCCTGTTTACCTACCTGATCTCTGTAGGAAACAGAATGCTGGCCTTGGGCACCTCATGCATGGACCTCACTGCTGGTGCTTGTGTCCTCAAAGAACTAATGGGAATTCTTTTTTTTCTTTTTTTCTTTTTTTTAATATACACACCCTTTGGAATTTCCTACTGCACCAGTAGCTGATTTTTCTCTAAAAATGACACACTTTTATTGACAAATGCAAACAACTTTAAGAGCAGATTTTTGAGCAGAAGAGACCCAAAAGCCAAAAGGCTGAATTAGGGAACTCAAAGGTGTTAAGGGTGTTTTACATCCCATGAGATAAAGCACATACAAATCTTTCCTAATAGAAGCTTAAAAGCTGAAACTCACTTGGAGTTCCAGTGACATCTCAAGTTAAGTGTTACACCATTAAAATTCCTACTTGAGCAAAATGTGGAGAGTTGTGATTAGTAATAATGTGAGACAATCAGTTTTTCATGGTTGACCTTAAAAGAAAATTGCAAGAGGAAGAAAAAAGCTCATTTGTAATAGACTAATTGAAACACAGCAGAGAAAACTGGATAGTATCACACTCTGCCTTTTCTTGAAGCTGGGAGTTACTTATGGCACCCAGTTTCAGAGCAGGGCTAAGAGAGGGCAGTAAAAACAAACCATAGTCTGTTTTCCTAGGAGGAGATGAGAGAAAGAAAATTGTCTCCTATAGAATATATAGTTTGGTCACATGAGTGGAACTCAAACATAAAATCTACAGAGATCTGTAATCCCTTCAATCTGAGCTAGGAAACATGAAACAAACACAGAACAAGAATAAAACTGAACTACTTATTAAAAGCCTACAGTGTTTCTCCTCCTCCCACCTATTCCCTTTCAAAAACAGTTTCCTTCTCTCTGTGCTCATCTCATTTGCACTCTTCTTTCATTTCAGACAGTTGCTTTTCTTTTTTTTTTTCTTTTACTCTTTTTTTTTTTTTTTTACTCTTTTTTTTTTTTTTTCTTTTACTCTTTTTTTTTTTTTTTCTTTTACTCTTTTTTTTTTTTTTTCTTTTACTCTTTTTTTTTTTTTTTCTTTTACTCTTTTTTTTTTTTTTTCTTTTACTCTTTTTTTTTTTTTTTCTTTTACTCTTTTTTTTTTTTTTTCTTTTACTCTTTTTTTTTTTTTTTCTTTTACTCTTTTTTTTTTTTTTTCTTTTACTCTTTTTTTTTTTTTTTCTTTTACTCTTTTTTTTTTTTTTTCTTTTACTCTTTTTTTTTTTTTTTCTTTTACTCTTTTTTTTTTTTTTTCTTTTACTCTTTTTTTTTTTTTTTCTTTTACTCTTTTTTTTTTTTTTTCTTTTCCCCTTTTTTTTTTTTTTTTGGTCCATTCAAAGCTCTATTACCAGACAGAAGCACTCAAAGCAGGGAAAGGGAGATAGATCAGCTCTGGCTGCAATTAACAGCCACTGCGATGAGCCAGACAAAGGGGCCATGCCAGGAGGAGGAGGGAGCACAGAGCTACAGGGAGAGCACCTGTGACAAACTCCCTTGGGAGCTCCTCAGAAGGTGCTGGGCTGAGCGCTCCCCACGTGGCTTAACTCACAGGACTGGCCTTATAAAAGCAAAGGGGGAGAAAGACTCCCTGATGTACTCACTGGCTTTGAATTTAGCAGGATTAGCAATTGTAGGCAAGTAGCACCGCAGCCAACTCACAGCCTCATCTGCAGGCTCCTGGGAACTGCGTGCCAGGCCCAGCAGGTGAAGGCTGTCAGAGCAGTCACCTGCTCCTGCACCCAGCTCTACTTACCCAGAAACCTTTTTTAGGGGACTGGTCAGAACACTGGCCAACCACAATAATTAAATAATCCCCAACTGTGGTGACTTTGCCTTTGGGCCATCGTCACTACTGGCCTGTCAACATCACACATTTTCCTTCCCAGGGATCACCTTTCACCAAAATGAAAACCTGCCCATATGTCATGTGCAGCACAAACAATCCAAAACATATTAGCAGCCCGGGGCAACGCTGATAAACATGACATAAGAGAATCCACTTGGGATATTCAGAGCATGCCACTGACCTATTGGGGAATGCAGGGAAGGCAGGGGAAGCTCCAGCGGGCACTTGCGTTTGGAAAGCTGTCAGTCTTATCACTGAGAGACTGCAATCCCCAAGTCCTCTGTTTTCAGATGATAATAAAGAGAGACAAGAAGCAACTCCTTGGAAGCAGCTTGCTTTTCCAGACCGAGGAGCTTGACAAGACCAAAAACCTTTTTAGGTAACTCTTCTAATATCAGATAACAGTAAAGTGACCAAGGGACCCAGACGTGTACCTTATCCCTTCTTTCCCTGCCTCTAGGTCCAACTCCTTTATATTACATGACACAAAGTTTAGCTCAGGGCTCCATGGCAGGATGAGAAAAATCCCCATGAGACCACCTGTCATATAAAGCACAAACTTGCTGTCTGCAAAACAGTGAGGAGTCTTTTCATGATTAGGCTTCTTTTGAGCTGGACTTCTTTGTTTTTTCAAAAGAAGAAAATCTAGCACCATTGAAAGGCCCTAGAACGGTCCTGCCTCGGCTGCTGGGAACAGAAAAGGCCTCCACTGCTCACAGCTGGCATGGTGGCTTCAGGAAAAAGCACTGCAAGTTTGCCCAGGAGCCAACTCTACCCCGGTCAGACAGCCCCATAGAGAGGTACAAGGGTTTGGGCATCTGGAAGGACCCTTTGCCACTACAGGCAGCCATGGAAACAAAAAATAACACAGGCAAAGGGCCACAGCTTGCAATACAACCTCATCACAGCCACAGCCTCCCAAGAGGTTTCTGCTCTTGCAGCCAGTTCAGTTTGCCATCTGTTGATCCAGATTTCACTACAGCCACAGTTTAAGTGCTCCCCCTGTACGCCGGGTGTTGTCGGGGCAATCAGTGGGGTCCTTCACATCGAGTTATCCAGACCAAGAAAAGGACACAAACCTCCTTTACTGCAGACTTCTCTAAATGTAGTTGTGCAGTTCAAGCACAAGTTTGGCTGCACAATAAATTCCCTAGTGCGTGGAAACTTATACATGCATGTAGGGGCTGGGCAATGCTGAGCAGCACAGAGCCCCTAATTTAATATGATGAACAGAAATATTTCAAATAATTTAGTGCATTTTCGATGCACCAGCTGCAGCACTGATGCCAGTCAGTGCCTCCTGAATAACACTATCAGAGTCCAGAGCATGTTAGGGATTATTGTCACACAAGTTTGATCCATTTTTGAGCGCACAACAAAAAAATCACATTCAATTAGAGACTGAGTCTTCTTTAAAATCTCCCCAGACTTTGGGTCCTCTGCCAATGTCTTTAAAACCATGATTTTCTGTTTTACTTTAATATGCAATAGCAGTGTTCTGTTGCTCAACTACATTAGAAAAGGGGTCAAAGACATCCTTGGTGGTATGATAACAGCACACAGACGAACTGTCTAATCTGCCTTCTGTGCAAAAAGTGAGGTATTACAGTGGTTATTAAATAACTGCTGTTGCAATTTTATCAATATTAGAAGTGGGTTTTTTCCCACAAAAAGTAAGGATTGTGTAGGAGTTAAGAGAAGAATAAAAAGTCCTCTTATGAAGATTCTGTTAAGAATTCTGATTTGCTAGCCTTTCAGTAATTAAAATCTGTCTAAATAAATTACTCCCTGCCGCCCTAAGTTAATTATGTAAAAAAGATATCATTATTGGTGACTCTCTTTTTTGATGCTGATATTGAGTCAGACACCTAGAAGAACAATTAAATTCAATGCTAAGCAACTTATTTATGTTTGGCTTACCACTGTTCTTATTAATAACATTATCTAAGTGACTGCCTGCTGAGAGCTCGTCTCCTGGATAGCAGTTGTTTTATAATTAATGTTTTCTTCCTACTAGCATGTTCTTCAGCTCTCTTTCTTCATTTTCTTGTTTTCTCCAAGTATACTAATAGTATTTAGTGCATTTAGTATTTAGTTCAAGAAGAGTGTGAGCATGCAAGATTCAACATCACAACAGCATTATCTTCCTTTTTCAGAGTTCAAAAACCAACATTCAAGATCATTACCTATATTTTATGAGTAAGAAAAATGAGACACAAAAAGAAGTGACATCTAAAACCTCTTGAGACGCCAGTGGCAAAACCAGGATCAGAACTCATTTCTGTATTAATGCTTTCAGGTTCAAAAAACTTCAAGGTATGAACAGGAACGGAAAGGAACCCAAATCAGTGGAGCTACAATATACACCAGCCAGGGCTCTGGTCCTATGTTCTCCCAGGTTGTGGTTCCTCAAGCAGGGCGTGGACCCTTGGCAAGGCAAAGGCAGTCTAAGGAGAGTTGCACCAATTTTGTAGTGTTGCTGGTCCTTCACTACACACATCCTGTGCGTTTCACCCTTCAGAATTACCATTGTACAAGATGAAAATTGGCACAAAGCTGTTCTGCACCTACAACCTGTGTGATAACAGTAAGATCCCCATTCTCACTGTTGCTATTGAAGAGCTTGATTTTCAGAAAGACAGCAAACACATTAAAAAATGTTATTTTAAGGTATGCAGAGCAATAAGAATTCTTTGTGCAGGAAATTATATGGGAACTGAGACCTGGCATATGAAATGTTTAAAATGTGGAGAGACTGTGAGGAAGAACATGCCCATTCACCAATTTCTTTATGAGTGTTTCACCTGCATGACGAGATCAAAACAGTCAATGCCTAGTGAGTCAGCATCCAAGCCAGCACCGAGACTCAGAGTATTCTTAGTGTTTATGGAAAACATCTAGAGTCAAGGGGACAGGATGCTGCCTGTCAGGCACAGAGTCTAGCACAGACCTGTCATTCCTAGCTCCATCTCGGGCAATCCCAAGAGCCCTGGAGGAGACAAATGGATTTTTGTTATGTTTGTTGTTTTTTTTTCTGGTGGGCAAGAATAAAAAAGAAGCCACTGGCAACATCCCATCCTCTGAGGCTCACTGTACAAATAAGCTTTCTGTTTTCATCTTCCTAATGCTATTTTTAGAACACACTGGCAGTGCCAGATGTCTCCTTCACAGTCTGGCCCCTAGAGCTGGAGTTAGATTTATAACCATGTGCTCGCTGGCCGCAGATGCTGAAGATGACAGGCCTGTGGGAAAGCCCCCCATTGTTAAGATTACATTGTTTAAAAAGCTGTTTAAAATAGCTACTCACAGCATCTTGAGTATTTCCACATAACAGCCAAGGATCCTGTCTGCCTGGGCACTCAGCTCAATGCTCATGGTGCTGCAGGTAGGACTGACCATCAAGCAGTCAATCAGGTTGGGCTCGCTGTCATTGCCAATGTTGGCTGTCATCTTCTGATTAGCGGTGTTGTTACGCTCCACTTCCACGTGGATCTCACTTGAAGTGACAATAACTGGTTTGAGACGGGATTCAGTCAAGGTGGCCTCTTGAGAGACCAGGTCAGGACTGGTGTGGAGGAGGCGGAGGGGGAGATTGGGCTTTCGGTCACACTGCTGCTGGCAGCCATTCCGGATTTCCTTCAGGCTCGGCGAATTGTCTCGACTGAATTTTAAAAATAGGCAAAAAATTTCAATATACAGACATAATAGCAGAGAGCAGGAGAGAGAGAGCAACACTGAGAAGCCAAGATCTTTTGCAATTTCCCACTGCACTTCACCCCAGCCCATCAGATTGCTTTCTCCTGGGTAATTGGATTACTGAAATCAATTAAAAACATTAAAAGGCTCCAATAGGACTGTTCTGCAGCCCCCATTCTACAAAGATTTCAGCTTTTCTTTACTCTAATTGACATGCCAGTTTAGTATAAAGGTGAACTTTCACATCCAAGTTGCACAGAGCTGTAACAGAATCCATGCCCAAGTATGTATCTGGCTACAGTACATGCCCAGACATTTGTCCGCAGCCCTCGCGTCTGGAATTTTTGTTGGACATTAAGCAGCCCCTGTCCGTGCTGTACCATGAGGAAAGTCAGATAGGCATAAACAAACAGGAAACCTAGCAGAGGGGAACCCTCAGTGCCTAATGGAAACTGGCTCATGTGTCAAGAACTGTGGCCTCTAATTTTGCATTAAGTCAGGAATCAAAATTTCCCACAATAATGGACAGAGCATTGTGAAACCAGCTGAGGTTCAAAGCTGTGGATACACAGGAATTTATGCACAACCCCTTCTTCAAAATCTCATCCTTCCCTTTTGCTTGAGGAGTAACACACACTTCATGTGCCAGAAAGGGAGCAACATGGGCACTGCTCCGGGTAGTGCATAACTCCCAGAGACTCTTGTAGAGCAGTCTCATCTTCTGCTGGCCTCAAAAGGCTGGTTACAGTTGTAGCCTGCCTTAGAGAAGTACCTCAGCAGTGGCCAAGACTAGCATACAGCTGGTTGTTGAGCTTCAACCTGGAAGTTACTGCAGCTTGCAGCTTCTGTTTGGGGAAGCTCTGAGCTCCTCAGCTCCTTGCATCACCAGCACTGCCCCCCTTTTCAAGCATGGTAGCCAAACATGCAATCACACATTGCCATGGTCGCTGCCTCTAAAGATGCCACAGAGACTACAAGTGAATGAAGGTTCAGCATTTTTCCAGTTTTCAAGCACATAGAGTGTAATAAATACAGTCCTGTAGCTACAAAAATGTGCATGAGACTTGACCAGAGCTCCCACATGTATCACTAGCAGTGAGAACAAAGACACGCTCTCCCACACCCCCTCCCGTGCTCACACTGATCTCAGTTTGGATGCCACAGGTTTGGAAGTGAGCAACATGTAGTCAGCTGGAAATTCATACTGACCTGTTGATAAATTCCTCATAACATGAATAAATGGCTGCTAAGCAGACAGCTACAAGATTTGGCAGGACCCTGGGATGGGGGCATTGTCCAGTCGGACCATGCATGCTGAAAAACAAAACCCAAGATGACATCATTCTGAAGAAGATTTCTGCAGGCAAGAGTCACACAGAACTGGATAGACAGCCTTGGGGAAGGGCCTTCAGAAGGGCCATAATGGAGTTATGTTAACCCTGTAAATCCCCACCCAATAGCCCTATTTATGAGGAAGGCTAAGCTGCATCCTCAGTTTATTGGATGTATCTCCCCAGTCCCCCCAAAAATCTCACACATGACTGAGCATAATTTGGTCTAATGTTAATGGGAATCTCTCTGAGTCAAAACATATAAAAAGAATGTACATTTGCTTCTAGTATGTAACTAGGCAGAAAACCCCATCCATTCTTGAGAATTAGATTTTAAAAAATTTAAAAAGATACTTCAGCAACATTTCCTCATGGACTTTTCTAATTTATTTGCTGTTCACCAGCACCAAGAAGAACCAGCTCTTCTTAACAGCCAGCAAAGAGATGAGCAGGGCTAGGAGAAGTAACAGAGTAAAGCATGTACACGAGTTTGAAAATAAGCTCTAAATTAGATGTAACTAACCTATGGATAAACTTCTTCACCACCTCCATTCCAGCATTCAGCTCATTCAAAGCCAGAATATACTCCTGAGTAAACAGCCGCAACCGAGGGCACTTCCCAAAATCCTGTCCGGAAAGAAGAGACAATGAAGATGGTGAAACATGCCTGGAAACTGGGTTATCAAAAGAAATAACTTAAACACAACCAAATTCACTTTGTTATTAAGCTGACAGCTGCAAGAGCACAGTATTACTCCATGCTGAAATAATATTCTTCCCACTAATAATGACACGCTTTCCAACTCTCCTCATTTTCCCATACCCACCTTGAAACAAGAAATGTTTAGTGGGGAAAAAAATAATCCTGCCTTTATTTACATTTCTTTAGTACACTTCACTTTATATGTTTATTTTGAAATTCATTTTTTGTTGGTTTAGGTTTTTTGTTTCCACTCTTAACAGCAGTTTTTAAAAAATGCAACTCAGAAATAATTTTTTACTTCCATGTCTGACATCATATCTATTGCGGCTTTAGAGCAAATCTTTTTGTTATGCAATCAATAAATTATCAAGTATAAAACTTGAGGTCATTTCTTTCTCCAGGGATTTTAGTCCATCTATAATGTAAATTTGACAGGTGAGCTCAACAGTCACTTTCTTTAAATCCTGCAGTCATGAAGGCACCTGCTAACTGAAACCCTGAATCTCCTCACATCTCCTGCTATTTTTAGATGTGAAAGGAGTAAAACCTGCTGCCTGGTGAATGTTATTCCACAGCACATTTCTTCACATTTACACAGGTGTAACCTTATTACCCAGGTGTTACAGAACTGCAAAGCAACATTTCCAAGCAGTGGACAAGGCCCACTGAGGACACAGGAGCCCTCCCAGTTATTCCTCAAGCAGAGGATGAGTCTTCCTGAAAATACAAATGGCAACTGAAATGTTAAAGAAATGCCACAAGTGGTAGCACCCTGGTTTTCTGTAAAAGGGAAGATACATTCCCAAAGCACCAAAACCTTCTGTTACTCATTTTGTTGTCAGGCACTTCTACAGCACAACTTATATTAACATCTCATAAGCTTTATAACTAGAGAAAAATCACCAAAAATATGAGTACACACATCCAGGCAGAACAAGGTCTCCTTCAAGTCTAGGTGTCACTGTTTGCTTGTACTGAATGGCTACCTGGTACCTCCACCCAGCAAAGGGACTGTTGGCAATACCACAGTTGATATTAAATCTAAAATCATTAAACTTCTAACAACTCCTTCAGGCAGGTGCAAATATACTTGATTCAAGGGCATGAGACCACGTGTACTTTGTGCATCATTTGGTGCCATTTAATTTCATGAACACTTCCTTTGCAAGATAGTTTCTGCAGTTGCAGTTTCCCTGACATTTTTCAACCTGTGTAGGTGTCCTAACTGAAACCAGAACAAAGATCCAAGCAATCACAAGGAGGATGTAAGTATTGACTGCTCTAAAATAAAATACCTCTCTAAATATAATATGATGGCCTGTCACCACATCAGGTGACATACAATACTCACTCAATATTGTTTGCTCCAAAACACCACACCCAAAACAACAGTGCTTATATTTAAAGAGTTGGTCTGAGCCTACAAACAGCTGAAATCCAAAGATCTGAGATTTCAAAATGAGATATAAATGAAGGAATCTTTCCCAATTTTACAGAAATTGTGGAACTAAACTTCTCATGAACTTAACAAAAACCACAAAGCAAATGAGCAGCAGAGGTGGGAACAGATATTTAGTCTCCTGCTGTAGGCACACTGAATTGCATGGGGCCTCCTAAGGTTATGAAGTTTACTGCCAACACCACTGTCCCCCTGCAGGATAATTTTATTACATGCACACACACACACACACACACATATATTCTCTAAAAGTCTATTCAGTACAGAAGTCCCTGAAGAGCAGTAAAGTGCCCAAATCCACTCCAATTAATATATGACACTGTAAATTCTCTGACTACACACTGCGGTACAGACATGTTGATTTTCAATCTGCAAATGTTAAGTATGGTAAATATACCCAATTCTCTGAAGCCAACCAAATGCAAGCATTACACACCAAGCATTTAGATTTTATTTGAGACCCCTCAAGAGCTCTGGATGCTTTAAAAAACATCACCTGGGAATCCAAGAATAACATTTACAGAATATTTCATTGAACACTACAGAATATTCAAAAATGTTTACATGTCTGCAGAGTGCAGGCACACAGCCAGGAACAGGACCTTTTTGCCATCTTGGGTTTTCTATGCAGTTCTGTAAACTCAGAGTTAAACAATAATACTGTTGTAAAAATAACAAATATGAACTGCTTTCCACTGGGTTGATGCTGTACACAGCAGGACAGCAGATGGTCTCTAAAATTGTATCAGTTAGTGAAAAGAAGTTGATTGTGGAGTTACAGAGGTATGAGACTCATCCTTGAGATCACAGCCATGTCAGCTGTATTAAATATTTTATTAATTAATAATAATACAATATTTTACTTGTTACTCTGCCACAGCATTGTGAAGTAAAATTTCTTTTGGTAAACTGAACACCACAGCAGGAAATTTAATATGCCACAAAGGACCTGTCTTAAGAAAGGAGTATGAAACATGTAAGAAGATCTTCCCTCCCTTCAGGGAGGGAAAATCTGGTATAAGGGGTGGATAGAGTAAAGCTGGCAGGGCAGTCTCCTAGCATTTATTTCCATCACTAGCAAGGAATTGATCAGCAATTAGAAGAGAGAAAGCAGCTTGGGAGAGAATAATCATAGAACAACCAAGTAACAATGCCTGGAATGAGAAGGAAAAAGAATAGCAGAAAAGCACATGGATATCCAGGAAATCTTGTTAAGAACTCACTGGACATGACTCCAAAGAAAAATGGAAATCCAGAGAGCTGGTGATGCCTTCGATTCAAAATGTTGACAGCATCAGCTCAGAATGAACACAGTCCCTATTTTGGTTCTTTTATTTCTTTTAAACCAATTATGAAAAGTATCACAGTAAAACTTCTACATACTGACCAAGTTTCTATTACATGTGCACTCACCATGTTGTGTTTGAGAATCCTCTGTACCACTGGTGTGAACACTTCTATCACAACCATGGACCGCGGGCGCTCTCGGCAATGCTGTAACAAGCAACAAGCCATTTGGTGAGCTGCACAGATTATGAAGATGAGTCTCCTCTGGCTTCACACCCTAAGCATGGATTACCCAAGATTAACAAAGGCTCAATTAATCTTTCCTGGGATCAGGGTACTCATACCACTGATCTCTCCCCTAAGGATTTACTGGAATCATTGAATGGTTTGGGTCAGAAGGGACCATCTAGTTCAAATTCCCTGCTGTGGGCAGAGAGATCTTCCATGAAATCAGATTGCTTAAAGTCCCATTCATCCTACCCTTGAATACTTCCAGGGATAGGAGGCATCCACAACTTCCTTGGGTAACCTGTGCCAGTGTCTCACCACCTTCATAGATTACCACAGGAGCTCATAAACCACAGCAGTTCCCTCCCCTACTGCCTATTTTTCACAAATCTCACTGGAATGCAGTATTTTTGGGACTGCTACCTCTTTGGTCAAATTTGTTTGAAACTTGCCAACAGTTCTAAAAGTAAAGAGGTGAGTACAAAAAAATACATAGATACAGGCAATGTAATGACACACTCCTTTCTTTGGGATTCAGGCTCAAAACCTGTGGTGGATCCTGGAGGGTATGAACAAGCCACTCTCCCATCACAGGCTGAAACCAATGTACCAGAGCAATTTAGGTTGGGAAGAACATTTGGAGGTCATCTGGTCCAACTCCCCAATCAAGGCAGGGCCTATTTTGAAGATGCATTAGCCTTTTTGTTAGCCTCATCCATTTCTGTTCTGTAAACTCCATGACCAGTTTCCCTTCCTGAAACTACACACAGCCTATCCCACATATTTAAAGATAATTAGGTGCTCACCTTCAGTGGAGACCAAAGGCAAAATATTCAGGAATAAAAACACCTTGAGTGTCAGGCTAGCTATGCCCCTGAGACTGCCTTATAAAAATGCACCAGTCAGAGGAGTTTCTGAAACTTAATTTCTGTAGGAAAAAGCTGCTGATTAGTAACTCTGGATGGGAATTATAAGCAACATCCAGAACATTTGACAAATGTATACCCAATCATCAGTAAGTACATTTAAGTAGACTTGAAACTAAAACACAAACAGGCCTAGAGGAAAGGCAGCATTTTCAAATCCAGCAGCTCAGCACTCCAAAGGAAAAGCTGCAACATGCAGCACAAGCGTGGATTTAACCAGGAAAGAACATGAGTCCTTATGATCTTCCCATTGCCATTACCCAGTGACATAATGTCATTAGGGCTGAGTTGTGCATCATGTTACAAACTCATCGGAACACAATGACTCCAATCATTTTTGCATTAACTACAGAGAACATGCAGTAGGACATCTCTTGTTCCCAGATTGGTGTGTAGGAGTCTTGAGATGTTACCTCTCTCAGAGTATCAGGATTATGCAGTCTGATGTACTAAGGATATGGATCTATTTATCATAATGGTGCTGTTAAGTATTCCAAGATGATTGTTTGTTGACCAAAAACTGAAATAAATTTGGGCATGAGGTAAGGAGCTAAAGAAAAAAAACAACCACCTCCTCAAAGAACTACACTCATATACAACTATAAGATTTCAGAAAGCAAAGCTGTTCTGATACCTTGCAGAAGAATTCACAGAGGTCAGGAGGAGGATGATTGTTCTCCAGCAAAGGTGCAATTGCCTTTAAAAAAAAAAGGAGAGGAAATTTTTTTTTCTATTTCTTGGAAAAAAACCCAACAAACAGCTTGCTTTAAAAAAAGAAGGACAAAAGCATTAATGGAGAAACTAAAAGTAGGCTATGTGTCTATTTTATGTGTAAGTTCAAGCACACCTCTGCTGTGAATCTGCTGGAAAAATTTGCTTTTAACTGCACCAGGGTAAATAGGTAAAATACAGCAAAGGAGTACAATTTTTTAATGGTAATTGTTTTAGGATGCAAATTAGCAAGGATGAATGAGGCTCACTGTTTCAGTTATGACATCTCCCCTGGAAGAAAAAACTGAAAAACACCACATCCACATCCTTTATGAAAGAGTCTGGCTCTTTTTGTGATAACTAACTCACTAAAAGTAACACAGCACTGTTCTTACCCTGGAGGACCCTATTCATCAAAATCAAACATCTAACTTAGTGAAAGTTGAGATCAACCATTCCTTCTTCCTTGCTATGCAAACCACTGTGCTGATGCTCAGTAAACACATTAGAGGTCATCCCTGCCACTGAGGGTGTAATGAACTTATGTTGTTGTTACTTCCTTTGTAAATTAGAAAATGGTACTAGAACAAGGTATTCTCTTCATGTGATGGTGCCTTCAGGCTTTTCCAATCTTGAGCTAAAGGGATTCCCAGTACTCATTTAAAAGTAAGACTCTAAACACAGCAGCTAGGACATTTTGTATTAAGCAACTGAACAACCAGATATTTTATCTGGGTGGCATCTGGAGCTTCACAAAGGCAGTCTGTTTTGCTTTTTGTTCTCCCTCTCACCTCCTTAAGGATTTCAGCTCTGGTGAGTCTACTTGCAATGACTATGTTTCACAATAGCCACTTGCACAAACAGGTCAAGACTAATGTGAATTTTAACAATGAAACCCAAGCACAACTGCAAAGATCATTTTTGGTTACACATAAATTTGTGAAGTTTCTGTTCATGATTTTGTGCCATCCCGCTGCAACTGTTCACTCCTCCTCTGGTGGTGGTCCAGCAACAGTGAACTGACTGATGGAGAACACTATTCAGTGAGATTAAAATGCCCTCACTACCCATCCAACACCTGAGCTAAAGATATTCCCTGAATCCAGCTTTTGGAGTGTTTGCTATATAGGACCTGTTAAACCACAGGAGCCATATATTGCAAAATCACCAGGTGTTTGTACCTGCCCGGTACCTGCCAGAGGATCACTGCATCAGAGATGTCACTGGCTGCTTGCCAGCCCAAGAAAAATGAGCTTTGTTCTTCCAGCCCAGGACTCCCTGAATGTAGAGAATAACCACAACAGACACTGTCAAGCAGGTCACAGCTCTGCCTGCCAGAGTGGCAGAGTGACAGCACGAGTGCCTTCTGTATTGCCTTATGTGAGCTGTGGTTTAAAGCAGAAACTTGCTGTCTTGCCTTGCCCAGCTACAGCAACATGTGCCTCCCCTTCCTTACCGGGAAGGGAGCAGCTGTAATAGTGACCCGGTCCAGCACCACCTACAGAAGGAAGCTGGCAAATCACCGAGTCTTTTAAGATGTAACAGCAATACCTCCCAAGAATAGGCCAGGTTAGCTGTGTAATGGCAGTTTCTGAGCATCCAGAGCTCACTGCCATCTCCTTAATGGTTTGGCACAACCTAGGGAAGGGCAGCACTTGAAGTGAAGAAGCCATCAACCAGAACTGCTGAATAATGTAGGCTGAAAGGAGGCCACCTGGTTCAACTTCCCTGTAAGGGCCACCTTACATCTTTCATTAAAAAAATCCTTCCCCCAAAACCACCAGTTGTAAGTGGAGGCCTGAATTACCCTTAGCACTAGAGTAAAATTAAAGCTACAGCAGATCTCCAAGAAAAGTAAATGCCACTTCAGAAATTCAGTGACTGATTCCAGATAAAACGGTATCTTGAGCAGCAGTTAAACACCATTCACACCTGCTCTTGCAGAAAGTCACAGCTGACGTGATACAATCAGGTGGTGGTGAGAGTTCTAGTTTAGATTACTGGGAAAATCTCTGATCATTAGTTCAGATTTTGTATTTCTACGCATAAGAAAGAGAGCAGCCATTTGATTCACTTATTTCTATGTCTAAATAAACACAACCTACGGAAAAAAAGTTGAAGAGGGTGTTTTTATAAATCAAGGAAGCAGGGGGTTAAATAAACTGCAGTGACACGTACCCATATCCACACTTACAAAAACAATCACTTACGTAGGGGCAGCAATGGAGACATTCTGTATATGGCAGCATTAGCCCTTCAGGAAACTATTAAGCCTAAGGGTTTTATAGGACACATCTGGAAATTATGTTTTTTGACTATTTAAAGTACATACATAGATATGAACATTGCACTGGGTAGCCTGGTAGAGAGGCCATTTTGGGAAACAATTAACCCTCAACTTGCTGTGCTGCTTCATATAAGCTGATGAGGAAACTTCGTAGTTACTCATCTATGAAACAAGAAAAGTGTAATGACAAAACCACCCCCCAAACAAGTAGGATTTCATCCTGCCTCAGTTCACCAGCATTAAGGGAAATGCTTCCCTCTTGCCCTACTTCCCAGGGGCAGAGGCAAAGCACTAACAGAAGTACTATCAAACAAAACAGATTTATCCTCAGATTTTGACAGAAAAATACTCACCACAATAATGCTCTCGTGGTCTTGAGTGGTTAAGTTGTTGTTCTGAAAGAGTTGAACAGAAGAAATGAATAAGTAAGGAGTACTCTAAGTTGGCACATCAGCATACACAGTCCTCTTAGGACTCCAAGACTGCAATAGTTCATTTTCAGAATAATATTAATCCCATTAAAATAATTCCCTTAGAGAAGGTGTTATGCTATCTGCTATGAGGGGTTGTGCAAGCTTCCATTTCTTCCTCAGCATGCAGATGTCTTCAGACTCAAGCCACCCTACCATGAAACCTGAGCAGACAAACACCAGCATAACACAGTAGGTCTCAACCAGTTGGAAAATTAAAACTAATGATAAATTTCTTAAGAAGTCTTAAGACAGGCTATATGCTTTAAAGAAAACTAATAAAAGGATAGTTGTGCTGCTGTATACCATTTTTTGATAGTAAATTAATTGCTGCAGTTTTCCTGAAATTCCTTCTTCAACCAGGGATCCAGTAAAAGCCAATACATTTACTGGAAGCCACCTATGCTACCACCTATGCAAAAGAGTTTGTGTTTGGCTTTCTCAGCAGCACGATCCATTTAGAGGTTAAAGAATTGTGAGTTTTAAGTATTTTTGCCTACTGCAAGAAAAACAGCAACTTTTTTTGCTTACCACAAATCTCTGCACAACAGAACTAAGACATGAAAAACCTGCTTGGCATTACTTTTCCTGTCCATGAAAAGTTAAGTATTTGAAATAGATGCTATAAAAAGGAAGATAGATAACTCTGAAGAAGGAAAGTATTTTTCTTTGACAGAACTGGTAATAATAAAATAGCTGCACAATGAATTTATTGGTATAATGCTACAAGAATTATTGGCCATGCAGACAAAGCCAATGGAATAGAAGTCAAGGGGAGTCTTGTCACTGAGTTGAAATAAGACATCAATCAGACCCATAATAAATTTACCTAAATAGTGAACAACCACCAAAAAAATACAACAAACAACCCTCAAGAGAAATAAGTTTTGTTTTTAGAAATCTACCTAACCTGGGTCAAATTCTTCTTGCCAGCAAGTACAAATTCCACTCAGTCAGCAGAAGTCACGAGCAGAGCCAAAGGCAGAATTTTGACAGCCCAAGTTAAAATCAAACCCACCCACAAATTTTTAACTGTTCATCTCTCATCTAAATGTAACAGTGTCTTGGAGGAGCATAGCTGGGGTCAAACCTCTGAGAGCAGTTTTGAGACAATCTCCAGTGGTGCTTGGTGAATAGAGTCATCCTGAAGTGGAGACGTCAGCGCCATGTCCACCAGTGTCCTGATCTCCTTCAACACCACCTCCCAGCGGCTGGGGTTACTGAGCACCTTCTTGTACTTGTAAATCTTTTTCTGTGAGAAAAATGAAAGAGTCACATTGACACCACCATCAACCCCTTGAAAAAACTGACTGGATATGTGCTTCCAACATGCAACTGCCAAGTGGGCTGCTTTGTATTTTGAGTTTTGCCTTTTCTGTTTGCTGAAAAGCTGTGCTTAAGACATTTAAATGGGAAGAAAACTTCATATGTTTAAGTCAGTTTCTTCTATGGAAGCAATGAAAAACTGTGACTCCCTTTTATTTTAAAATAAGCTTTTTTAACTCCAGAGCATCCTTTTCATCATCTCCTCTTGCAAACCACCTTGTGCCTCAGGCTAACAGATACCTGCTATTACACTGTTTCCAAAGTTGTAGGTTATTTTAAAGGGAATTAGTGATTAAGAAAGGGGGAGAGGGGCCATCAAAACATCAATCTACAAATACTTTACTCAACATTCCTAATTGGTGAATTCACATTCAGAATGAATTCAAATCAATTTCATCAAGGTAAAAATTCCAGTAGACCCCCAAGCTTTTTCCTGAGAAGTCGTGTTGTCATCCTCCAGTTGTAACAGAAACTAACTTGTCAAGTCACCAAGTCTTCTGTGCAACAGCATTTCTACTCACAAGAAAAGCATTCCTGACTGCCTAATCCCATCTGTCCCAGCCCTCTGCATGTCCCTGCATTCCCTGGCCATGCCCAAGCTGTTTCACTGCTTGCCCCGTCCACAGACCAGCTGGATAAGCAAAAGACAGTTCTTACCTCCTCAGCAGCCATGTTACCACAAATGACTGGAACAGCGGCTGCTCCTTATTATAAACAGTATTCAGAGAAAACCCACCCCTCCAAATTCCCAGAGGTGGCTGGTTGAAACTCCAGAAGCCCAGGGAAACGATGACGAGCCCTACAACACCCCTGCCGATGACATGGGAGCGCGCATGGGAACCAGGAGAGGCTTTGGCAAAGCGGGCAGCGCTGGGGGTAGCGCTCGGCCGGGGAGCTGGCAGGGAAGGAGCTCTGTCAGCAACCAGAGAGCAACCACCCAGACTGCAGCCTTTCTGTTCTGTTCACATGCCCCTCTGCTCCTCTCTGGGTGTGAATTTGGTCCTCTGATCAAAGGGGTGTCAAGAAGGCTGGGTACGTCCTCAGGTTTATTAAATGACACAGGCTGGGCACTTCTCTGTTTACATGAAAAGATCAGTGTTTTGCACTAAAAATGGATCTTACATTCCCTGGCAGCATTTCCAGGGAAATGACAAAAAACACTCATCTTGTGCAGCTTGCAGATCTGGCTGTGCATTTCAGGCTAGACACTGTCTGTGTAATGAAGGCAGAGGACTTAGCCAAGGGTTGGTCTGCTTTGGAGCTCTGCTGCTACTCGGCATTTCCCCCTCCACTTGCCCAGGGCAGCCCCTGCAGGAACCACCTGAACAGACTGGCTCTCTGCTTATCGGCTGCTTCCTTCCCACTGTGGCAACAGATCCAATGCTCAACAGAAAACACAGTCACCACTGTACCCTACCCAAAACATGAGAGAACAATACAGAAAAATACCCACTTCAGATGCCTTGGTTCTGTCAATGTTGTTAGAAGGGGGAGAACAGGGTGGCACTGGGTTGACATATAAAGGCTAATAAAGCAATCCAATTATCTTTTTAATTAAATTCATGCTAGTACAAAAGCACATTGGCAGTAGTTCACATTTTCAGTGCATTTTAAGCTACTGAAAAGCTAAAGGAATATAAACACTCTGCAGACACTATCAAATGCATTTGGGATTTCAGAACTGAATGAAAATCTTTGTACTTATGAGCTCCTGGGGGCAGGGAGGGTCCACCAGCATTTTTTAAAGTACCAGCACTGCTTCTACTATCATCACAGATTTCTTGGACTCTTTAGGAAACTTGAATAATAAAAGTTTAATTTCTCTTAATCATGTAGTGCCCTTTTTTTTTTTTTTAGGGTCTTGTTAGACCCACTCCAGCACTAAATAAAACCTAAACTTCAAAGCCAACCAGGCAGCTTTGTAATTTGAAGCAACTCCTTTCTGACTAATTGAGGACACCAAACAAAGCTAGCTCAACAGATACAGTTTCCATGCTGAAATTCATTCCTTGGTCCTGCACTATGAAGAAATGAACTTCAAAGCAGAACTCCAAGTTGGATAAAAAAGTGGGGGTGGGGGGAGTGCAAGAGCTGGACCACTGGGTTATTGTATCCCTGCCTGCTTTGGGCAGTCCCTTACTTGTGTGAGCTACAACGGGCTTTTAGAGAGCAGCAGCTTCAGCCTTAGGAACAGCTGCTGAAGGGAACCCTCTTGCTCAACAGGACGCTGCTCAGACAACCCCACCACAAGTATCTGTCTTTCACTGTCAAATCCACTCTTGCTTGGGGGGAGGGAGAAGCAAAGGAAGTCTTCTTTCCCTTTTAGAGATGTTCATTAAAAATTAAAATTCTGATTATGCTGATGTGCATAAAGAGAAAAGACAGCAGGTGCTGTGCTCCCTGCTATGCAAAGTAGACCTACAAAAGCTGCAGCTCAGCCCAGTGACTCAAAGGGGACAGCTACCCTTGCAGACACACCGAGCCTGCTGCAAGCAGAAAAAAAAACACCCCAAAAAACTTATCAGTCTCTGCTTCACGTTTTTCAGCACAAAGGGTTGTGCTGCACTGATACACTGAGCTGTAATCTGCAAGAGATGTTACAGAAATCTTAAATGATGGTGGGAAACCAGCAGAAAATAAATAAGTAGAGGAGCCATCCCCAAGAGGGCTGAACTCTGCTATCCTGAACCTTTGCCCATGGTTATGCTGCTGTTTTTCTCAGCAGAATGCCTTTCACTGCTGAGCGCCTTGCTGAAAGCCTCAATTAAAGCCTGAAACCTATCAGTCGGTCACAGAGGCCATTTGCTGTCTCAGCAAGCACTTAGCCAGCACCGAGCCATCTGCTCTGTCCTACCTGCGCTGACACCAGGGCGGGGAGAAACAATCACTCATGAGCTGAAAAGCAAAGCTGCCTGCTAAAGACACGTATCGGACAACAGGCATGTCAACATGTGTGAGGAGCTCGTTCCTCCTGGATGTAGGTGTAAAAAATGCCTTCAGTTGCTGAAAATACTCACACAACATTCACCATTAATAGCGTGCACAAGAAAAATACTGGGGCAGGAATACAGTTCCACTGGGATTTCCCTAAAAGCAGCAGCTCCTGCGACAATTCATGTGAGTGAAAATAACCCATGCCAACTTGGAATTTGACCCTCCTAGTTACTGACCAGTCAGAACCACCACTGCTAGCTTCATTCCAAGATCTTCCTATGCTGACTTTAAAAGCAAAACCACTGAATTTAATAAGTACACAGAAGAAGTAGCGTGGGGAATAAGTGACACTGACAGGGTATCCTTCATTCTCAAATCACTCTCATTAATTAAGTTTTGCAGAACCCAAGGACCTCAGTCTCAATCCTCTTTTAGATCAGGAGGAATTGAAGTCCACATGTGAAAAATTACTTTTCCAGCATTATTAAGCAAGCAATGTGACAGAAATATGTAAGCATTGGGTTTTGCCACTAGTGCTCAAAAGCTCCTGAATACTGCTGTCAACAGAAAGCGAACTTTTAGCTTTAAGGAATATCTTTGTCTGTTTTTTCTATCCCATAGTGGCCTCATCTTACAGCCTTTGCTCATACACCACTTCCCTCGACAAGAATGGCAACACTGATGTAGTCGACACCTAAGAAAAATGGACTCTAATGCACAAAATTGTAAGGCATGGAACATGGCCTTTTTCCGTCCTAGCAAGACCTTTCACGACAGGAACATCTTAGAAGAGCCAGCACACCTGATCCAAAAAGGTTAATATTAAGTCAGCCTTCTTGATGACCAAATTTCACCCCTGCTTTGCTACCAGTGGCCAGGAAACATTCTGTACTCTTGGAAATCTGACTTCCCAACCGCAAATACTATCTTCATCACATTAAAAAAAAAAAATAAAAATAAAAATAATTTAATCACCCACCCTAATCCAGAATAGCTTGTTACATTCTAGCTCTCTGCTCTTCAGCCCTTTACCATCCAACAGCACACAACTAATCGCTTCTTTGCTGGAGAAGCAAGAGCTACTGCAAGAACATACGCAGACGTTGAGGGCTGTGTGTGCCAGCAATTGTTTATTTCTTGCTGAGCAACGAGGGCAGTTCCAGCAAAAGGGAAAAGGTCAACCTCCCGCACAGAGGTCCTCCCCAGCTCATTGCGGGGATGGCTGAGCTAAGCTAGTGTTACACTTTAATGTTAGCAGCCCTCGTGTAAAATGGAGGTGCCTCTTGCTAGGCACAAATGTACAGAGAAAAAAACCAAACAACAAAAATCCAGCAGGCACCGGAGCAGTTTTCTGCACTGCCATAGAGAACATTTTGTTAAAACACTGCACAATGAAACGGGAAGAGTTGCTTGCGGTCTTCAGCACGCATGCTTGGCTGGTCCTACAAAGCCCAGGACCTGTACCATGCATTCTTGAGCACCACCTGCTGGCACTTTGTCCATTATCTCACTACCTTCATGAAAACAAAGAAAGCATGGCATCCCCAGAACTTCATCCAGACTCTTCCAAACTGGGGACTTCAGACTGCTCGTGCTGCAAACTCTTCTGACCATCTGAAGGCTTTACACAGAAACACTGATGTTCTGCTCTCTAAAATAGCTGCAAAACTGCAGCAGCAAACTTTCACACTTTACCATGTTTTCAGGTCAAGGCGTTTTCTGCATTTTTCATTTTGCTCAGTGCTAAATGTTTAAGTGAACCATCTTCTCTGCTTCGGTTGCTTCTCTGAATGCAATCACCTTGGTCAAGGCTTACTTGCCCACAAGTTCCTTGCCACAGGCCCGAGAACTGGAGGGAAACATCATAAGCTAGACACTTCCTGATTCGCACTCAGGTAAGATCTAAATAACACTTCACTTTTTGCCAATTCATGTAAAAAATATCCTGATGAAATCGCCATTATTTATTGCATGAATCTATGCCCGGAATCA